GACGCGCCTGAGCTGGGGACATCGCCGCGTGCCCCGGGTGGGCACGTCCCCACGGCTGGGCCCGGGCACGTGTGGGTAGCCCCAGCCCGGGGCACCCGCTGCCACTGCTGTGCTCCGGCCCCACAGTCCCCAGCCTGGCCCCACTGTCCCCAGCCCCTCCCCGGGACATAGCCCCTGCCCTCCCTGCTGTCCCCAGCGTCTCTGCGGGATGTCCCCCCTGCCTCCCTGATGTCCCTGCTCCCTCCTCAGGGTGTCCCTCCAGTCCCCAGTACCCCCCTGGGATGTGCTCCCTGCCCTCCCTGCTGTCCCCAGTTGCTCCCTGGCATGTCCCCCCGACCAAACCCCTGTGTCCCCAACCCCTCCCCGGGATGTCCCCCCGTCTGTCCCTGCTCCCTCCTTGGGGTGTGCCCCCAGTGCCTGCTTCTGTCACCAGTCCCTTCCCGGGATGTCCCCTCTGTACCCCACACTGTCCCCAATCCCTCCCCATGATGTCCCCCCAGTACACCCCACTGTCCCCAATCCCTCCCCATGATGTCCTCCCAGTACACCCCACTGTCACCAGTCCCTTCCCGGGATGTCCCCCCAGTACCCCCTACTGTCCCCAATATCCCCCCGGGATCTGCCCTGCTGTCCCCACCACCTCCCCTGCATGTCCCCTCTCTACCTCCTGTTGTCCCCAGTGATTCCCCATCCCGCACCCCGCACCGTCCCCCTGTCCCCCCCCAGACCCACATCATACTGGAGGACTGCGGCGAGGACAACCTCTGCGTCCCCGACCTCCACCTGGCTGCCAACACGTGAGCGCCCAGGTGGGCGAGGGTGGGTGCCCGCTGTCCCCTCAGGGTGCTGACCCCTGTCCCCGTGTCCCCCCCCAAGGCCCAGCAGGCGCCTGCTCATCGGGGCGGAGGCCGTGCTGCGCCTGCGTGCCGTCGCCAGCAACATGGGCGAAGGAGCCTTCGAGGCCGAGCTGCGGGTGCAGCTGCCCCCCGGCACCCACTACCAGGCGGCCCGCAGCAGCATCCTGGTGGGTGCCCAGCAGCGGGGTGCCAGGGGGGCCAGGGCTGGGGGGGGCTTACACCCTCCCCTTGGTGGCCACCACCCTCTGTGTGGGTGCCCAGGGGTGCTGGGTGCCAGGGTGCCCAGGGTGCCCAGGGTGCCCAGGGTGGGGGGGCCCATGCCCTGCCCTTGGTGGCCACCACCCTCCGTGGGGGTGCCCAGGGGTGCTGGGTGCCAGCGGTGCCCCGGGATCAGGCCCTCGGACCATGTGGGTCCCCAGGGTGGTTGGTGCATGGGGGGGGTCCATGTGTCACCCCCCCGCCCTGTGTCCCCAACCCGTAGGGGCAGGAGAAGCTGAGCTGCAACCCCAGGAAGGAGAACGGGAGCCACGTGGTGCTCTGCGAGTTGGGCAACCCCATGAAAGCGGGCGCCAGGGTAAGGGGATGTGGGGTCCCCCCCCGAGCCCAGCACCCTGGCGCCGGGGCTGGGCACGGCCGGCGGTGGTCGGTCACCCACCCACCCTCTCGCTGACCCCCCCCAGATCACCGTGGACATGGAGCTGAGCGTGTCCGGGCTGGAGGACATGGGCGATGCCATCACCTTCCAGCTCCAGTTGCGGAGGC